CTTGTGTTTTCTCGCGCGTCCTGTCCAATCAAGTCCGACTGCATCGCCCCCCCCCCATTCAGCGACGCCCAACATCAAGCATGCCTCCGGGGCGAGCAAACATTGCCCTGTGGAAGGGGTTGGGATTACCTCTGGGATCGCGCACGGAGCCGGTCGTACAGTCGGGGCCCTGACGAAGGAACCTTGTTCGTTGGGGAGGGGCTCCGCGTTCCTCAAGTGTTTCACAGCTTGCCTCAGGCTTCCCTTAGATTTTCGACAGGAAATCGAAGGTTAACTTATGGAAAAGAGGGGCCTCGTTCCTCATTTGGGGTTCCTCTTAGGTCAACGCCCCGACTGTATACGGGTGTCTGGGGATGGCAGGCCCGCCGCGCGGCTCCGCGTGCGGGCGGGATTTCTAGCAGGATCCATTTCGGGTGCTGCCCCTCTTGGCCGCGCTCAGACGTGTGCATTTTTCCTTCGGCGAGGACAATCGAGGAGCATCCTTGATCATTTGGCGAAAAAGCCACGCACGAAACCGAAAAAAAACAGGGAATGGACGTCCAAGCGATGGCGAATCCTTGGAGGTCAAATTCTGATTTCGCCCTGGTCCGAAATCCCGCCTAATCCGGCTTAATCCCGCTTAATCCCGCTAAATCCGGCTTAATCCCGCTCAATCCCGCTCAATCAGGCTTAATCCCGCTTGATGCGAGGCCGATTCTGGCGTAACAGCCCCCCAATGGGGCTTAATCCTCCTTAATTTATCCGACGAAACACTCCCAGGAGTTGCCTCCTAAATCCATTGCGTCTTGGACTTTCTTGGAACGGTCGCCAAAAGGCCGAGGCGCAGTGCATACGTGTAACAATGTAGCCTCCAGAGTTTTATACACATCCACTGCGCCCTTGGTTTCTGGGGAAAGGAGCTCGACACTTCAAGACGCAGTGGATCTGTGTACTTACAAGTCTTCGGCGGCGAGCCCGTGGGGAAGTGAGAAGGGGCGGACCTGCGGACCTTCTCAGAAGGCTCTGAAGGCCCCCGGCCTTCTGAGAAGTTTGCTGAGCCTTCCCCGAAGACATAGAACACTTCTCGGAATGCCAGGCCGCTTCCGAGAAGCCTCGCCGCCGTCTGAGAAGGCTTTCTTCTTCTTCTTCTCATTCCCCCCCTCGCTCGCCGCCGAAGTCTTGCCCGCAAGGGAAGCTGATGTCCATTTTTGCATCGAGCATAAGATAATCCGTAGCCCTAATACTTAACACAACGAAGACGGTCCCTGTGCTTGCGTCGGGGGTCAAACATCCAGGTGGTTTGGCTGGGCACATCAGCAGAACACAGGTCCGCTCCCAAAGGCTTAGGAGCCCTTTACTTGCTCATCACCCTCGCCCGCGTCCGTGCCCGACTGATTTCCGACGTGGCTCCGATTTCTCAATTGAGACTCACTAGCCTCCCAATTTTCGCCGATTCGACTTCTCCCGACTCGGGTGCCGATTTCTGCCCGTCCGATTCGTTTCGATCGCCGATCCGACTCATCGATTCTCCACGCTCCTGCGATAGGGGCCGGGCAGCCCCGACCTGCCGAGGTAGGTGCGGATTGCTATCTTGGCATCGCTCGGACGTGTGCCGTCTTTGTTCGGCGAGGACCATCGAGGAGGACAGCACAACCCACCCCCACCCCCACCCAGGGCACCCACCTCCGACCTGGTGATCCAGGGTGCCCTGGGTGGGGGTGGGGGTGTGCTGTTGGGCCCCGCGGCTCTTACAACCCACCCCCACCCCTACCCAGGGCACCCTGGACCACCAGGTCGGAGGTGGGTGCCCTGGGTGGGGGGTGGGGGTGGGTTGTGCTGTCCTCAATCGAGGAGCATCCCTGATCATCTGGCCAAGAGAGCACGCACGAGATCGAGCAGTGCACGGGGCAAGGATCTCCGGGCGAGGGCGAGCCGTGGGAGGCCCATCGCCGATCTGTCGGCGGCGCGTCGCCGGCTCCAGGGATTCTGCGGCAACTCACGGGGGTCTCCCGTGCGGCCGGACCGAGGTACGGAGGCAAGGGCTCCCTCGAGGGCGCGAAGTTATTCGCGCTTCGCGCTTCGCGGTCCTCGTTCCTTCTCCCCCTCCTCCTCGTCCTCCTTTTCTCCCTTTGGGGGGGCGGCGCGAGAGCGCGAAGTTATTCGCGCTTCGCGGAGCGCGAAGCGCGAAGTTGGGAGCCCTAGCAACTCACGGGGGTCTCCCGTGCGGCCGGACCGAGGTACGGAGGAGGCGCGCATCAAGAAAGCATATGCTTTTCGTCAGGGTACCCTGGGTTGCTTCGCTCCGCGTGCTGCGCGGTGACTTCCCGCAGCCGTGGAAGAAGCTGCTGCGTTCAGGATGCTCAGGTTTTCACCTCGCGCGCGGGTTTTCAGGGTTGGGTTTCTTGCGAAGGTGTCTTGCGGCCGCGCCCGCCCGGAACAAGTTCGAGGTCGGTTCGGGGAGGACCCCCGAATGTTCTTCGTGTTTGCTGGATGCTCTCGTGCATCCTGGGGAGGGCGCCCTGGGATGCTCTTCTGCTTGGGCCTGCGAGGGGCCCACGCCCTCGAAGGATTATCCCCTGTCCCAGGTCCGACCGTACCATCTTGTTGGCTCTTGCGAGTCGGCGCTAGTCGACGCTCATCAACGCTACATCGGCGCCATCTCATCGACTGCCAGGCAACATTCGGCGCTATAGCTCGTACGCGGGTATACGTACAAGGCCCCTTTTGGCTTGAAACCACGGGGGGAAGAGGTGAATACCGATACCGGTACCATCGCCTGGCGTTCGCCTTGTTGGGCCTCCGGGGCGGCCCTCCTCGCCACCGCTGGCTCCGCCCCGGCATGCGGGGTCAGAGCGCACCCTGGGGGCGGCCCGGGGAGTAGCAGTGTCGGCATCCTTTGGTTTGCCCAGACATCGGTGTCGTCGGCGGCCTCGGCCTCGGCGTCGGCGTCGGTGCCGCCGCCGCCTTGGCCGTCGCCCCGGGCGGTCGGCGGGCCTCGGCCTCGGCCTCGGCGCGGCGCCGCCGCCTTGGTCGTCGCCTCGGCCGCGGTCGCCGCCGCCAGGTGCCCTCGTCGTCGGCGCGCGTGGGCGCCGTCGCGGGGGGCGCCGCGCGCCGCCGCCCCCGCAGGCCAGCGGGCGCCCCCGCCGCAGCTGGCGCGGCAGGGGCCGGCGCCCGAGGAGGCCCACGTGGGCGGGGAGCGCCGCTCAGAGGTCAGAGGGTTGAGAGCGGAGGGGGGAGGGGAGGAGGAGGAGGAGGAGGAGGAGGAGGAGGAGGAGGAGGAGGAGGAGGAGGAGGAGAGGAGGAGGAGGAGGAGGAGGAGGAGGAGGAGGAGGAGGAGGAGGAGGAGGAGGAGGGAGGAGGAGGAGGAGGAGGAGGAGGAGGAGGAGGAGGGAGGAGGAGGAGGAGGAGGAGGAGGAGGAGGAGGAGCCTTTCGTGGGCCTTTCGTCTGTCGCCGTGGACGGGGCCGCCCCGGCCCCCCGCCGCCCGCCGCGCGGTCGCCCTCTCGGGGCGCGCGCGGCGCGGCGGCGGCGGCGGGGGCGGTGGGTGGCTGCGCGCCTCGGGGCGCAGCGGCCGCAGCGGGCTAGCGCGGGCGGCGGCTCCGCGAGCAGGGTTGCGCGCCTCCGCCCTCCTCGCGGGCGGCCGCGGCGCAGGGTGCGGCGCGCGGTGGCGGCGGGGCCGCGGCCACGTGCAGCAGCCCTCTGAGCTCGCGCAGCGGCAGCAGCTTGGGTGTCGGGCTCGGCCCGGCTCCTCGCCGCGGGGCGCCTGGCTGCCAGGGGCCGCTGCGCGCTCGCGCTCCCGCCAGCAGGAGCTCCCGAGCTGCCTCCTCGGCCGCTGGCGGTCGCGGCTCTGAGGCGAGGCGCTGCGGCGGTGCCTCTGCGTCTGCCGGGCCTGTGGTCTGGGTCTGGGCCGCCAGGAGCGGCCTGGCTATCTTCTCGTCGGTCGTAATTGAGCTGCTGCTGGTGCTTCTCCTCGCCTGTGCTCTCCTCTTGCGGCATCGCGCCCTCTCCGTTGGTGTTCATGCCCGATGGGTCCTCGCTTTCTCTCTCATGTTTCTGCCAGTCCTCAGCGTCTGCATCTTCAGCTTCTCTTTCCGTCTTCGTCCACTGCCAGTCCTCTGCGTCGGCGAGCTTCGTCCAGGCCTTCAGTTGGTACCTTCTTGAGTCGCAGGTCGGGCTGAGCCTGCGCATAGCGTACAGAACCATCTTCTTCGTCTTCCCAGCCATCTCAACGGGTGTGATGCGTGCGGCTCTACTCTGTAGTACGTGATGCCCGTCCCTGTCTCAGGTGGTTGGCCTCCGCACTGGTGGTCACCAGTGGTCGAACCGATCCAGCAGGTTGGTGAGCGGCGTGGACTCGGAGACCCACTGGCTGCAGCACCTGCATCTCCATCCTTGTCCTCGCCTTGGCCTCGCCAGGTTGTGCGTCGAGGGCGGCCTTGCCTTCTCGCCACTGCTCAGGGAGTTCGCCTTCAGCTCTCTCTGTGCTCGCCGCACTCGCCGCTTTCAGGTTCTCGGTGCTCCGTCGGCCGCCCCTCGATGGCGTCCAGGAGGAGGAGGAGGAGGAGGAGGAGGAGGAGGAGGAGGAGGAGGAGGAGGAGGTGCAGGCCGCTGTCCCTGATCTCACCATGCAGGCCGTGGCCCTCGCCCACTCGCAGCAGCTCGTCTGGGTCTCGGGGACGGCGTGCCGCCGCGCGCCCGCGTCTGCGAGGCGGTCTGCCAACGTGATGCCCTCCCGTGCCCTTTCTGGGGGCTCATTTCGCTCCCCGTTCGTCCTCGCGCACGTAATGCGTCTGCACCTGATCTCGTCCTTCCCCTCATTGTTCCAACGTGTTTCTTACCCTGCGTCAGACGTCGCAGGTGGCGCCGGCTGTTTCTCGTTCCTCTTCGCGTCCCGCGTTACTTCCGACGCAGGGTGACCGCGCTGATCTCGTCCTCCCCCGCATTGTTCCAATGTTTTTCTGACCCTGCGTCAGACGTCGCAGGTGGCGCCAGCTGTTTCTCGTTCCTTTTTCGCGTCCCGCGTTACTTCCGACGCAGGGTGACCTTGCTGTCCGTCCAGTAGTGCAGCTTCCCGCTGGTGGCCTCCAGGCAGCTGGTGACGGCCCACAGCTCTGCTCTGTTGTTGCTTTGCTTCGCTCCTGGTAGCGGTCCGAACTTTGCTGTCTTCACCTCAAAGCTTCGCGTTCTTCCCTGCGTGTCGAGTATTGCCCATCCTCCGCCGCATCTTCTGTAGCGGCCGTCGTTGGTGTACTCGCCTTCCGAGCCGTCTCCGCTTGCCGTGAGAGTGTCTCCCTCGGGTGCCCTGAGTCTATCTTCTTGAGCGCTCAGCCCGATCAGGGATTCTTGCTCTGTGGTCTCGCATGTCGGTGGTACTGTCCAGGCTTTGGGCGTGAGCCCTCTCTGCCAGAACGCTGGCACCTCCTCGGCTCCTCTCCCGGCCCTTGTCACGAGCCCCGTCGTCTTGTCCGTGATGTGTTGTGTCCTCCTCGCCGTGCAGTTGCCGCAGGTGCGGTGGAAGTCGTCCTCCTTCGTGCCGCGCTCGCAGAGGTCGTCGCACTCCCCAGGCTCCTGGCGCTGGCGCGCGTTGGGTCACGTCCCTGTGCGGGCGGCCGCCAGGGAGCGCGCCGCAGGCCTGGTGCTTCCCCCGCGTCCTGAGGTACTCCAGGTGCTTGGCCAAGTCCGTGGTGTCCACTCCTGCTTCAGCGCCCCTGCCGTTGAGGTGCTGAGCCGCCTGCTCCCACGTCTGTCCCTGGAGGTCCGTCCGCAGCGCATATGTGATGCCCGCGGGGTCGCCGCCTGCCTCGTCCTCTGGGAGCCTCCGCTGGTTGCCGTCTGCGCCCAGCCAGAGGTCCGGGCCTCTCTTAAGTCCCGGCCGAGCTCCCAGAGCAGCAGGACGATGCTGCTGTCATCTTCTGTGCTGCTCCGTCTTCTGCAGAAACTAGATATTCGGCCATGCCATGCGCGCCTGCTCCCTTTGAGCGTGGCTCTTGGACCACAGGTCGAACCGCTCCTTCAGCTGGTTCCTCGTGGTAAATATCGCGGGGTCGCTGCCCTCGAGCGCCAGGAAGGTCGTGAGGCACTTGCCTGGCCAGGCCCTGCGCAGGGCCTGGGCGTACCTCCTCCTCGCTTTCCTCAGTGCTCATGGCGCTAGCCCGTGCACGGTGGCCCCGTACATGAGGGAGGCCACGGGGCTCTGGCTTGCATCTTCTTTGCTCCTCTTGAGTTTCATCTTTCGGAGCTTGTAGCCGACCGCGCCGAACGTCTGGCTTGCATCTCTCCCCCTCTCAGCGTGCGCCTGTCTCCGTGTCGCGCCCCGCTCAGCTCGGTCGCATCCAAGGTCTCGCCCTTCAGTGACTGCTTTGACCTTCACCCCGCGCCTGCTGAGCTCTATCATCACGTCTCGCGTGACGTTGAAGTCCGTGGTGAAGGTGATTGTCTTGTCCGCCAGGTTGAGCCCATGCCCTTGGAGCCCCTCCTTGAGGCTGCCGGTGGTGGCGACGAACTGCTCCGCTACCCTCTTCTTGCCGCCCATCACCTTGATGCTGATATCGTCGAACCAAGCCCTCGGCATCGGCTTTGCTGGGCCTGTGGCTGCGTCGACCGCGTGTCCCAGGACCGCGCGCGCCACCGTATTGGCTGCGCTGTTGGCGTGCCTCGGGCCCGCTAGGATCGACCTGTCCGCTGGCATCGGGCCTGGGCGCGCGTACTTGCATCTGAGGATGCGCGCGCTCAAGTGTTGAGGAGGAGGAGGAGGAGGAGGAGGAGGAGGAGGAGGAGGAGGAGGGAGGAGGAGGAGGAGGAGGAGGAGGAGGAGGAGGAGCGCCTCGGGGATCAGCGCGTCGATGCGCAGGCTGTCGTAGGATCGCTCGATGTCCGCCACCGTGTGGCCCTGGAGGATGCCGAGCGCCTTGCGGCACTCGCCTGATACGATCCTTCTCGTTGCCTCACGCTTGCAGCAGTTGCCTGCCACTGCTGCGCCTCAGTCGCGCTCCTGCTCCTTTGCCCACGCCCTTACCGCTGGCCTGTGCAGCAGCTCCCAGCACCTCGCCAGCTTGGGGAGGAGGGCCAGGGCGCGGTCTCCTCGGGCGGGCTTGGGCATGATCATGACGAGTGAGCTGAAGAGCTGCCACAGCCGCATCATCCTCAGCTCGCACTCGTTGAACAGGTCCACGATCGCCTGTCGCCTTTCTACCGGCAGCTGACGGATGTCGCTGCAGCAGAGCCTGTCTATTCCTTGTCCCTTGTCGGGCCCGCCCCTGAGAGCGGAGTCCAGGTCCTCGACGCTCCACTGCGGCGGCACTCCGGCTGCCGCTCGGTTCCGCAGCTCCGCCAGCACCGCCGTGTCTGGTGCGCGCTCTTCTCGCGCTGCCGCGTCTTGGCGAACGCGACGGCATTCGTCCACGATCTCTGGCGGGCAGTCGGTGACGCCGTTGGTCGCGTCGATCTCCTCCCTCTCTCCTGTTGGGCTGCTTGGTGATCCCGTGGAGCACCCCCGGCTTTTGTTCCGCTGCGGCCAGCCACTGTCCAAGGCTTCGCGCGTCCTATCTCGCGTCGCGGTAGACTGCTGCGCTCCTCCTCGGCTTGCTGCGCCATGCCGCCTTCGATGTTCACGTCGAGGGCCTCCAGCGCCGCCGTCCTCTGCCTCGACATCCTGCGGTGTAGGAGCGCCGTCTCGGTAGCCTCTCCAGGCCAGGTTGCGGCATGCCGTCGCATGTCAGGTTGTGTCCTGCCTTCGCGAGTGATTTCCTCTGGGCTCTGCCTCCGTTCCTTCTTTTCAGCTTCGGAGGAGGCGGAGGCGGCGGAGGAGGAGGAGGAGGAGGCCTAGAGCACGACTTCCGCTCTTGCTCACCAGTCTGCTCGGCGTGCCCCGTGTCTCTCTCGTGCCTCTCGCCGTGCCCCTGCTGGTCACCTCCTTTCAGCTGGCAGACTTGGCCAGTTCCCGTGAGGTGGTCTCTGTCCACGGGGTCGATTCGGTAGGACATGCAGTACGGCAGGTTCGCGTCGTGTCGACCGTCGGCGACCCCGCCCGCGGCGTTTAACGTTGAACGCCGGCGGCGACCCAGAATCGGTCGATGTTGAACGATTGGACGTTGCGGGAACGGCCGATCGTTCAAGGTTGAACGATCCACGCGGTGTCAGAAACCAACGCCAGGGTCGTCACGACGCGAACCTCCCGTACGTAGAACCTGTCCAAAGGGGAACAACAAGTAGCACAAACATAACAACTCGGGAGGTCCGCGCGCTTTTCTCGGATTGGTACCAGGGGGCGGCGCCCGACGCGCCGCCGGGGGGGCCCAGGCGCCGATCCGAGACATCCGCGCGGAGCTCCGAGTTTTTTGTTTATGCCACTTTTTGTTCCCCTCTTTCCAGCGTTCTGATTGCGTTCGCGAACTGGGCGCCGAGCGTGTCCGCAGCTTCTTCATCCACTTGGGACGCGGCGCATCTGCTGATGTACTCTGGTGCCTGTTGTTCGCCACGGGGTGCTGGGTGCTTGCTGCGGCCCTTCAGCTGTGTTCCAGACGTGCCCCATGGAGGTCGTGTCGATGTTGGCTGCTGGTTCTCAGATCTTCAGCTTCTTCTCGTACATGGTGTCCTCCTCAGGCTCTGTGAGCGAGGCCCCCCCGACGATGCCACTCGTTGTGTTCGCGGGTCTCACGGCCTCGCCGGTCTGGCCTAAGTCAGTTTTCCTCCTCGTGTTCCGATTGGCGAGGTCCAGGGCGTTGGCATCGCTCTGGCACTGGCGAGGTCCTGGTGGCCGTGGCGTTCGTCGTCAAGTCCGCGACATGCTCTCTGGGCCCGTCAGGGGCCTCCGCATCACCAGCCTCTAGGTAGTACTCGTGGTATGCACGCTGCTCCTCCTCTATTCTCGCGTCCAGGTTCTCGAATGGGTCGGAGTCGTCGTCCTCTGCGAGTCCGATGCGCGCCATGTTGTTGGACTCCGTGTTGGCTTCTCCTCCTCCTGGCTTTCTCGAGCGAGGCCCCTGGACGATGCCTCTCGCTGCGCTCGCGGGTCTCAAGGCCCCCGCGGACCGGGCAGGGCCAGGCCTCCCCTCCGCTCTCCAGTTGGCGTGGTCCAGGGTGGTGCCCACGCACAGGCATTTGGTGAGGTCCTGTTGGCCGCGATGGTGGTCTTCGAGTCCGCGTCGTGCACTCTGTGCTTGTCGGGGGCCTCCGCTTCGCCGAGTGCCCGCGTGGTCTCTCGGCGTGTGAGCGCTGCACCTCCCCTGCCCTCGCATCCGGGCAGCTGCCGCTCGGGCCTGCCACTGCACGCCTCTCCTCCAGCCTGCCTCTGGACGTCCGCGCCCAGCAGGGCACGTGGCGGCCGAGCCTGCGACTGCGACCCCCCCTGGGGGGGGGGGGCCCGGCCCAGGATCTGCGGCAAACTCGTAGGCGGCTGAACCCGAGGCTGCGCCCCCCCTGGGCGGGGACTGGCTCGGCAAGGGCTCCCTCGAGGGCGCGAAGTTATTCGCGCTTCGCGCTTCGCGGTCCTCGTTCCCTCTCCTCCTCCTCCTTGTCCTCCTTTTCTCCCTTTGGGGGGGGAGGCGCGAGAGCGCGAAGTTATTCGCACTTCGCGCTTCGCGCAGCGCGAAGCGCGAAGTTGGGAGCCCTTGCTCGGGGTTTCGCGTTCCAGCGCCGAGGGGCGAGCCAGCCATGCCGCGGCCCTGGGCCACCTGCCACGCGCTGCCGCTCGTGTCCGCAGCGCGCCTCTCTCAGGAGGAAAAGAAACACACAGACACAGTTAATCCTCGATTCCCCAGAAAATATGGGAAGATATGGGAAGTGAGGGGGGAAGACAGAAACCCCGAAAATATGGGAAAATATGGGGAATATTTTCATTTGTGTGTATTTATTTGTGTGTCCTGGGGCCCCTTCACTCTCGTCCTCCTGCTCAGCGACCGTCTCCGGGCAGGCGTGCGCGTCCCAGCCGACGCCGCCGACGGGGACCAGGGCCTCCCACCGACCTGTCCGAGACCAGCCTGCCCTCGTAGCCCCGCGAGCGCTTTCGGTGCTCCGCTAGCGCTTCACTGCCTCCTCCTGCTGCTGCGGCTTTCGCCTGGGCAACTCCTGCACCCTCTTCCTTGTCCTCTTGCTGCCGGGGCTGGGTGGCTTCTTGGGGCGTGACGGGCGGGGGAAGGACTGTGGCATGAATCGTTGTTTGGTCCTCGTCGCTTGCGCCTCCGCGTGGAGTGTTGCGTTCAGCCCTGTGTGCGGCTTCCACGGCACGTCGTAGACCGCTTCCACGCCCTTGCCCAGCTGCTGTCCCGACTCGTTGGCCACAGCGAATTCGATCTGCGATTGGCTGTCCCCGAGCTGGCACGTGCACTCGTCTTCGGGAAGGGCGATGGTGGCCGACGCCCCCATCGCCGCGGGCCAGCCCGAGCCCCGCATCTGCTGCGGCTGCCTGTCGAAGTCGCCGCAGACGATCCAGGCGCCCGCGGCCCCCTTCAGCAAAAGCGGCCGAGGTTTCCTGCCGTTGATGCCTTCCCGCAGCGGCTGCCCTCCATCCAGGTAGATACTGGCCACCGTGATCGACGTGCCTTTCGAGTGCCATGTGACTGGGGCCCATGTCGCACAAGTCCAGGTCGGCCCTCCACCTGCCCCCGCTCACGTCGGTGGTCGCCTTCGTGGCGGTGTTCGGCCTGGCCTGGCCCCGAAGGTACGAGGTCCGCAGATGCCCCCTCGTGACGACCGCGGGACCTCCCAAACTGCCCAGCTCCGCTCTCGAGCTGGCCCTCGCGGCGGTGAAGCACGGCCTTGAAGCCCATCTTGACCAGCTCGTGCTCCCCGCCCTCCCGCGCCGCGTCGCCCACGCGCGTCCCCTGGAGCGCGCGGGCGTGGCAGCCGCGGTCCAGCCTCTGCTTCTGCGTCCACGGCTTCGCTGTGGGCACCCAGCAGGCGAGGCTGGCGCAAGACACATTGCGCTCTCGACTCGAGAGCGCAATGTCCGAGGTCTCGAGAGTCTCGAGGTCCGTCGAGAGTCTCGAGGTCCGTCGCCTTCTCCTGTGCGATGGACCTCTCGCGCTGGGCTTCCGCAGCCTGCGCCAGAGGGCCTGGCTCCCTTGCGCCGCCGCCCTTCTCGCGCATCGTCCTCCGGTGCTCTTCGGCGTCGTTGTTGCTTGTGCTGCTGGCGGTGCCGACGTTGGCTGCTTCCTCTGTCGCCTCGGCTGCCGCCGGGGCTGGTACTGGCCTTGCACCTGGTACTTCTCCTACTCTGCTGCCTCTCCGCTCTCCGCTGTCTGCCTTTCCCTTCTTCGCCGCCTGCTTGATCGCGGCTCGCTGCTCTTGCGCCTTCGGCTTTGCCGTCGCCGGATGGCCCTTCGGCTGGGCGGTGAACAATTGGGCATCCTGCTTCATCTATTGCACAACTGCCTGCGTCGCTGCCTCCACCTCGCGTCGTCCCTCCTCGTCGAGGTCCTCCGCTGCCAGGCCGAACTCCTTCTCCAGGTCCTGCGACCGCGTACCCTGCGCCGGCTCTGTCACGTCTCCGCTCGCCAGCTGTTCGATGATGCCCTTCGGGGCTTCCGTTCCCTC